GTGTTGAAGGATCAGTGGATCTGTGTTCGACTACACCACCTAGACTGTATTTTTGAGCGCAGATCCACTGAGAAACTTGCTGTTTCAGTAAAATTTAAAAACTGTACTTAAATGTTCATAATTAATTTAAATAAATTTCAAGTTAAAAGGGACATGGACATTTCTCTTTTTTGTAACGAAAAAAATCGAACCGTGAGATATAAGAATAATTGTAATTCAAATTGTTTGTAAAGTTAAAATTTAGGTTTCAGTGCAACAAAATAAATGAAAAACATAAAAGATAATACTCATTCTGTTACATGCTGCAGGGTTTCACCTGCCCCAGGAGTGATTGAAAAGCTCTGAGCTACAGGTTACATGATGTTACTTCACATTTGTTCTGAATAAATAAATAAATAAACAAGCAAACAAACAAACAAATAAATGCCTTTCACCTGTTAGAGCAGACATTTAAAATAAAATATCTTGTGTTGAGTTATAGATATTTTTGTGTTTATTAAGTTTAATTAGCTGAGGTGGCCATCTTGAATTCAGTCATGACGATGATGATGATAAAAGCCTTTATTGTCGTCGTTTGCACAATGAAATTATATTTAAGAACACCCATTCAAGAAGACACATGACAAAACATGGGTAACAGGTGATCCATGAGATATTTTGCTAACAGTGCAGACAAAAACATCATTGCTACACATTTGCCTTGGGCAGCAGGTGATTTAAGAAAAAAAAAAAGGAAAATTCAAAATGTAAACCAGAAATTCATGATTTATAAAAATGTCCAGTAGATGGTGCCACTGTCACACAGTTTTAAAGTATTTTCTGCAAATTTCTAAAAGAAATACAAGCGTCCTGACAGCAGTTAGTTTAGTTTTCATTCATGTTTCTGGAGAGTTGTTTTTGTTTGTCCTCAGCCTTTCGTTACCCGTTTTACGCCGTGCAGTGGCATCCAGAGAAAGGTCCGTTTGAGTGGATCGACAAGCCGGGCATGGTTCACTCTGTCTCTGCTGTCAGAACCAGCTTCTACACGGCCAGCTTCTTCGTCTCTGAAGGTCGGACAGAGCTTTGCTTCGGATCTGTAGAAAGGTTTAGAGCTCAGAGACAAAAACATCAGTAAAAATACAAATCATCCATTGTGTTTGTTTTCCTGCAGCCATGAAGAGCCAGCACCGCTTCTCCAGTCCTGCCGAAGAAGAAGAAGCTCTTATTTACAACCACCAGCCCGTCTACAGAGGCACGACGGCTGTCTTTGTGCAGAACTATTACTTTGACTGATGAGCAGAGACCAGGAAGAAACAGACGAGGGCCGCTGTCGTCACAACGTCTTTCTGTTAAACATTACAGTCCAAACTCAGTGTCAGCAGCCGGAGCAGCACGAGACGGAAAGAAATTATAAAAACAAAAACACAAATAATCTCAACAAGAACAGATCAAACTAAACATAAAGAAGACTGAATGTTTAATTAACACATCAGCAACCTCCTCTATAAAATGACACTTTTAGGATCTTTACCTGAGCTTGTGTGGCTTCGTTGATAATAGTCAGTATCTTACCTGCAGCAGACAGCAGTTATCGTGATCATTTCATAAAACGTTAAATTAGAGGAACGCCCATTAAAGAGCTCATTTCCAACGTTACACAAAACCAAATGTTTTAAAGTGCTTGAGAGAATGATTCACGTTTTTTTAACCTTCGCACTTTTGTTTATTTCATAAACATTTACTCAGCTGTAATAACCCTGAGCCATGACTCGGTTTTACAGGATGATAATCTCACTCTTCACAACCTAAAAGAGAGATTAGAACTTTACCCAATCGCAGAAAATTACAACAGCAGTTCTGTTGCTGCTACGCCTTTTTTATTGAGCAAATAAAGTTTCTTGTTAAGTTTTGTTAAACAGAGCTCTTCATTTAACTGGTTCAACTATTTAATTATACAGTTTTAGTTTTTTCTGAAACAAATCTAAAAGATTTTGTTCATCTTTATGTTCCTGGGAGAAAAGTTTTGAGGAGATTATTTGTCTGAAGTAAACATTTTGAGAAAGTTTATGACCAAACATTATTTATTTATGCTTTTGCACCAGTTGTATTTTCTGATCTGAGAAACTTTAAACTGAGATAAAAGTGTAATTACACATCTGTCCACTCGGTGGCAGCAAAACATCATAAATCTGTTCTGAGCAAAGTTTTGTCTAGTTTCATAAAAATCTAATAATCACTCAAATCACATAAAAATCAGAGAAATTTAACAATGCTGATGTATTTTTATGTATAATTATTCATGTTTTAATCATCATGTCTGACATGTCTTATAGCTCTAATTAATTAAGATTAATTATTATTATTAATTATTTAGTATTTTAAAAAATCTAATTGAATTTAAGAAATTATCAATCTATCACAAATTAATTTGCTCTGAAGTTTATGAGATGAAATAAAAAACTGAAACTTAAAGATTTGCTTCAGTTTATTCTTCAAATGTTTTGTCAAATAATCCTGAAGTTGTCCTTTGTTTGTCCTCACTGTTTCTGTTGTTTGAATCGACTTTCTTCCCTTTCCCCAACGCTCTGAAGACAAATCAAATTAATCAGATTTTACAAAGTACACTTTACTAAAACAGAGTTGTGTTGAACTTGTAGTGATTTTATTAACAGTTTATACATTTATTTAAAATTTTTAAGGTTTCAAGTATAAGCAAAATAAATTAAAAACTATTCTAGAGCAAAATTATTAAACTATATATTATGTTCTGGTAAAAAAAATTAAAAACATGATATTTTAGTTATTAAATGAATAAATGTAGCAAAGAGACAAACATCAATCTATGTTTTGATGTAAATACAGCATTTATTTTGTCAGTTAAGCCATTTAAAGTCTTAGATTTCAGATTTAATTTGTACTTTGAGTCAGCAGCTAAGCTTTAAGTTGTATTAAATATTTTTGTTATTTATGTTATCTGTAACCATCCTGTTGAAAACTGACTCTTTTTTTAACTCTGCAATAGAAAACTGAGCATGTTGAAGGCATGGAGGGGGTTTGAACCCATGAGCTTTGGTTTGTGAGACCAACACTTTTCCACTGGGCCACCATGCTGTAAAGCTGAGGTCATCAGGAGGATCACATCTGAAAATCACATTTATTTAATCAATTAGGCCATTTAGAGTCTTTGTTTCAATCTGTTTGTATGAGAAAATGTGTGAGCCGTCACATGGAAACAAGGATTAAGTCCAAAAGTGGTACAAGGAGAAAAAGGCAAATATAGTGTTTTGACTAAAATGTTAACAAAAATTTCATTTTGTCAAAATATAATGAATAAAAGCCTTATTAATGTATCATTTGAATGAACTGTCTGAAATTTAACCATAAAACAAAAATTTGGAGCACTTTTTTGAGCAGTAGCAACAAAAAAAACTGATTTTGAGGAAAAACGCATTAAAATTTTAAGATTTTCCCTGTGACTTAGTAAAGTTTTGTTTCTTTTAGCTGGTAAATCTCTATTCAAATATAATTTGAGGTTTCCTCTTTATAAGGACATCAAAAAATCCTCAATAAAATCACATAAAATTAGGATTCAGACCAAATATTTATGTATTATTGTAACCAACAAGACAAATTAAGTCATATATAT